TACCTATAACGTCAAATTTACCAGGGAATTAAACTCAGCCTCTATCTCTAGTGATAGTTTGATTAGATAGTGCTGCAGTGTGCAATGCAATTTATTATTACTATAGCTACTTGAAGATGATACTTAATCTACTAATTACTGGTTAATCACTTCTTTACATTTGTAAGAGTTCTGAATTTGAAGACGTGAGACAGTATCTGTTATAGACCTATTAGTAATAGCTAAGTTTCTATCAATCCCTGGCTTTATTTGCATTCACTAGTTCTTCAAACCCAGTATTTAGACATGATTAATATCGATTGATAGATTAATTGACCAGTTTCTAATGCATATTAGTATATACATCCACTTATTCAATTATATATAAAATTCTTATGAAAATCATCTAGTTTTATACCTCAGTTGAGGCCTAAACTCATGGCTATTACAGTATATCCCATAATAGAAGCTCAATTGTTGCCAACTGAATTAGGAATGCCAATCTTTTGATATGCAAAAATGATCTGTAAGATTGCAAAAGGATGATTAATTTTGTGTTATATTAAAATGATTTGTAATACTGTAACTAAATTGAATAATTAAATGATCTACATTCTTATTTTTCAATTTTAGTAGTCTGATTTATTATATAAATAGATCTTATTATGTCATTCATTATTAACGTTATTTAATTCATTTATTTTATTTAAACTATTTTATTCATTTCTATTATTTTATTCATTTATATTATTTTATATATTTTTCTATTTTCTTTACTTTATTTAGTTTATCATTATTAATGGGTATTTTTATATAGATAGGAGTAGTTTATTAATATAAAAGAGCAGATCAAAGTCTTGTCTTGTAATAAATCTTTTGATAAATAAATTGTATAGTACAGATATGCTGACAGAAATAGTACGAGTTTTTTATTTGTTAAATAATTAATTGCACATATTACATCTCACTTATCTCATTTATTTCTATTTCTTTTATCTCGTATCTATATTTTTAATTTTCTGTGTGAAAGAAACCTTCTGCTAAACTGTGATATCGCAGATGATTTATCTGTAATTTAAAGGAACTGGCATAACAATATTGTAAAAATATTATAAAATAATTTATAAAATGCTTTTTATTGTATTTGAAATTTTTTATTATTATAATTTATTTATAAGTAGATTTTCTAATTGATTTAATTTAAAATAGACTTAGTAATATTAATAATTATTAATATAATTTAATTAGATAAGAATTACTATATAATTGTATTTGTAAAATAATAAAAAAAAAATTTTAAAATGATTAAGATTTTTTCTATAAAAAAATATCTTTAAAAAAAATGAATTGATCTTATTATATAATTATATCTATATCTTATACTTAAAATACTATTCTATTTTAAATTTCATATTATATTTAAACCTATATCTTATATCTTAATCTTAAATCTTAAACTTATTTAATTTTAATTTATAATATATTTTTAAGTATATTTTATCAATATTCTATTTATAAAAATAAAATAATAATCTTTTTATCAATAAACTAAATATTATTAAATTATAATTATTAATTGTAACAAAATTGTTTGTTAAAGTTTTAGTTTAAGAAATAGGATTTGAGATGAAATGAAATTAAGATTTTTATTCATATTTACAGTTTTGGCAGAAAAAACTGACAATTAGAAATTAGCAATTATCTCATCTGGGTTTTATTAAAAAATTTCAAAATTTTAAAATTAAATCCCCTAAATATACATTAAAAACATTAAAATTTCAAAAGCCTATTGTACATTCTTGATTTTTTATCACCAATTTTAAACATCTCAGCATTGATCTTATAAGATTAATACATAAATTTTCATCAATTGCCTCCCATTTCTCCTTTATTATCTTCATAAAAATCTCTTGCGTAACTGATTTTTTTACAGATCATAATATTAACCTTCTTTTCTACATTTTTTTTCATTATTACCCATAAGTTTTCGATCAGATTTAGATCCAGAGAGAAAGAAGGTCAGTCAAGAACACATAAATAATATTCATAAAAAAAAGTAACCATAAGCTTGACTTGATGCTTCAGATTGTTATTCTATTAGTATGTTTACTTATTATCAAAGACTTGGGATACTTGCTCAAACAAATTTTCAATTATAATATTTCAGTAAAGCTCTCCATTCATATTTTCAGTGAACATATGAAAGCTGACAATTTTCTTTGCACAAAATGCTCCCCACTCATGCACTTTAAAAGAATGTTTTACTACTATATGTCTTGGCTTTGATTTTCTACTTTTATAATAAACTAGAGTTATGTTATAAAACATTTGAAACGATGACTTATCAGAAAATATAACATTATTCTAATATTCTCTTTGGTGTGCGTTTATCCAAGTGATGTGATAATTTATAACCTCTAGAGTAAGAAAAGGAACTAAACAAGAAACACAAACTTTATATCCAAGAGCTTGAAGGTTTTTTCTAACTATCCAGGATACAATATCAAGGTTAGGATATTTTTTTTTAATATTTTCGGTTAACTCAGTACTTGAAGAACATTTATACGATTTTATAATTTGATTAAGATAATAATGCTGAATAGGATAAGACATTTTGGGTAATCTGAACGACTTCTTTGCTTTAAGTCGTTTGTTTCTTTGAGTTGTTTAGTCCACTTGTATAGGGTTTTCAATGGAAAACCAGTTGCTTTATGAAGGTCTCCAACTTTACGAACTTCACTCTTTCATAAAATCTTAATGCAGTTATAGCGTTTCTTAAGTACAACTATTGTGTGACACACGTGACCTTCAAGTTGCAGTAATTTATTAAAATATGACGTAAACAAGTTGTTTACATCATATTTTCTATTTTTTTGTAGGAAAAACAACATGATCAGTTCTGAAATCTAAAAAAAAAATTGTCAGTTTTTTCCGCCAGAACTGTATATAATATAGGTAATAAGTATATTTTATTCAAATTTTACAAAAAAAAATCTTTAAAAGTTTATGTTTAAAAGTTAATACCCAAATAAATTAAAATTGTAAATCTTTATCAAGTTGATAAATAATAAAACTAAAATAAAGAAATGGAATTATTATTTTCAAAGCCAATTAGTTCATCAAAAAACTGATATTTTTACAAAATCTGTATAAGAAAATGCACTTTTATACTATAAATTGGCTTAAGTAAATTATTTATTTTTCTTTCAAATCTTAATATTAAAATTTTATTTTACACATACTTCCTATTTATTATATATTATATATATATGAATATTTTTTACAATTGCTTATATCTTTTGTGTAATCAAAATATTTGATTCATAATTTTGATGATATTATAATATTTGTCTGCATTTATTCACACTTTTTAACTATAATCATTGCTTAATCTAGTAATATTATTGTGTGTTAATAATGCTTAGTCACAAAATTTGTTCATATCAGACTTTTAAAATGATAATTATATTACAACTATATTTGTCTATAATATATGAGAAAAGAATCTGTTGAAATTCTTAATTAGTATTACTTTATGAAATTATTGAAGGTTTAAGCATTATTGTTTAAAAAATTTTGATAAAAATCCTAAAGATTTTTTCAAATTTCAAATTTGCATTACTAGAAAAAGTTTCTATTATCCTTCTTTTAAAACAAGAAAACTTGAAAAGGAAGAATCTAAGATTTAGAATTATGGTTTATTTTATTAGAAATAGAAAATTTTTTCATGTTTTACATATAAGATAGTTTTGATCTCTGGATTAATAAAGTAACTAACTATTAAGTTCTTTTGGTGATTTATATGAATTGACTTCTTTTATTAGATATCTTAGTTTTATCTCATTTAACATTTCTAATTGGTAAAATAGAAAAGACAGGTTAATTGACAAAGATAAAGTTTCAGAAAAAAAAATTATTTTATAACAATTTTGTGCAGAAATTAATAATGCTATGTGTGGATTTTATTTTGGTCGTGAGTTCAAAATATTATAATTGTGATCGACATCATGCATTTTTACCATCATGTGGGTGTTATTTCAAAATTTCACAAAGTTTTTTTTTCCCACATTGTTTTTTTAAAAACTTAGCTCTTATCGTTATATTAACCCAAAATTATAACGCTAAAAATGCATGATTTTACTTTTTATTTATCGTTTGTGGAAAAAAATTGTAGTTAATGAGGAATACTAAAACATATTTTAAAAGAACGAAGTGGGCTTATTTAACGAAAGGTGAGTTTTTTAACTTCTTAGTATTTATTTCATTGTAAGGTGAACGAATAGTAATATGCGGGGTGTGCGGCCTCCAAGCCGTGTATGGTAATGCTGACAGTCTCCTAAATAGGGTAGTGAATATTCGTATTACCATGCTTGCAAAAACTGAGAAACACCTGTCTTGAGTGACCTCCTCTCCCTTAGCGAATACTAAATTAGTAAAAAACCCTATTGTTTTACTTCAGGTTTAGACGAACGGTTCCATTATCATGATGATTACTCCTTTTTCGATCTATTGTGGTCTAGCTGGAATTTATTGCAATCAATAACCTCAAATCAAAAATCAAAAATCTATAGTTATGATTTTTCTGAAAAAATTATATTTAACATTATGAAATTAAAAAATTATTTTCCGCAAGCCTTCCGTAAAATTATTATGAAAATTAGACATCGTTGATTTTTGGAATGAATAATCAAAGTATTATAAACTGGTTTTTTTAAACAGTAATTAAATAAATATAAATAATATTATTTGTTTGAAATTATTTTTATATTAAAATATTACTCTTTTTATTTAATGAATTAGTATATGAATAATAAACTTGACAGGAAAAATTTTTATAGTTAATTATTTTTTAATTTATTTTTTTATAATAAAGAAATAGTGATGGTTATATTTAACATTAATAATATATTATACACACAAAATATAATCAAAAAAAAAAAATAAAATAAAAAGATAATAATAATGGTCGGTTAATATAAAAAAAAATCTTATTCCTAAAAATTATAAAAACATCAACAAAATTAACCTGACAATAATGAACGTAACTTAAGTTTTTCATTTGCTCTTTCATTAACATTAGAAGCATTTTGACCTAATATTAGATCTAAGACAAGATCTATATTTGTTTTAAGAATATTTTTACAATGTTCTTTCAATTGATTGGCTTTGTAATCTTTTGAAAATCCTAAAGTTTTACACACATTATTGATACCGATGAACGTGCTATTTATAATAGTATTTTCCACAGCATTTTTTAGTGGTTCAACGTCATATATATCAGTTGCTTTCAACAGACTCTCAAAAAAGTCTAAATAATAAGTTTCATAACTTTCAAGATTTGATTTAAAGTCTGATTGTTTTTGTAAAACAGATTCTATTGCATCTTCGAAAGATTGTCCATGTAACCATTGAAGTAATACCCAAAACGCATCTGGTTGAATACCAACTATTGTAACCTCGATTTCGCTCCCATTTGATTCATTAAATTCACCTTCAAACATTTTTTCAAAGTACTCTTTTGAAGCAGCTATTGGAAAAAGAGGTTAGACAAAGATTAATGAGGAAACTTTACGCAAATATCAAAGTTCATACCTGAAAGCACGTATCTATTGGCTCTAAACGTTTTATCTCCAACAATAAAAGTGACATCATGATATCTATCAGAATTGCCCATAAACCTTTCCAGTAGACGATCAACCAGCACTTTTTGTTGATCATGTTTAATTATATTTACTGGTAGGCTACTGGATAAAAACTTTTTTGCACCGCAAACCTTTAACAAATTTTCGTAATCCTCCAAAAATTCATTAATTTTTAACATTCCTTGAATATCATGTGATAAACCAAATACAAGCTCCTTTCCTTCTACCCACTTTGTCTTATCAAATGGTTCATCTCCATTTAGTAATATTTTCTTAGGATTCTTGGGATTTTTAATCTTCAATTTAATCAGAACTTCTTCATTTAGAGCACGTTCATTCATTGTCTTATAAATATTTTTGATTATACTCTTTGTTTCCTTAAAACTACTTCTCATAAGTTCTATATTGTCAACGACGTAAAACCAATGTTCCATAACATTTTCGGTAGAAGGAATTCCAATTTCTGGATGATGTTGATTGAATATGGTAAATTTGGTGGGATCAATGATTTCATCAAATAATGGGCACTGAGTCCAACATAATTTCTTATACTTGCGAGAACAAAGTGCTCCAAGAGTCTCAAACCCTGAAGTTTCTTTATGATTCCTATAAAATTGTGTAAAATTCCTTTCTGATGGGACGAACTTTATTTCTAGAATTCTCTTCCATTGGTCGGGGTTAAAATTTAATGTGTCAATATGTTCATACAAATATCGTACCAAGTAATTTGCTCGATCTTTAACCACGCCTGAAGGTAATTCGTCACATTCAATCTGTGATTTAACTTCTTCTGCGCATTCAATAAATATTTGTTCATTCACTTGACGCTTAAGACCAATCCTTCCAAGAGCTTCTAAACAAACACGATTTTGCAATTCTATTGGTAAAAATTTGTCGTCATTTGCAAAAATCTTGGGGAACAGGGGTTCGTTCCTGTCATACAACTCATCAGCTCTTACAAATTCACTAAGTGATTTATTAGGTATCACTTTTTTGTTTCTAAAATATCGTTCAATTTCCGGATTTTCTAATGTTAAGACATTCTGTAAGAAAGGGATGTAATTTGGAGAATCTTCAGGTGTTGGATAAATTACTTCTTTTAATAGATGATCTCTGACATACACCAATTCATTTATTTGATTGGCACCCAATTTGGTAAGTGCATTGAAATCAGAATCATGATTACATTTGTAGAAATCGGTCGTATTTTGAAATGCAAAAAATGGAAGCTTATATGGAAGAAGGATTCCAGATGTGGCGTCAATGAGCTCTTCAGAAGAATGTGTCGGCCATATTGGTAAAGACCTTAGAATTTCCATAAAATTTTGCTGGTGTTGCGCATGTTCTGTTAAGTTAGAAGAATATGAGTATATAATTATACGGAAGTTTATGACAACGTTCTTTACATTTCACTTGCCTATTAAAGATTCCAGTTCCCTTTTAATAAATGTTCTAAACGTGTCATAATTTTCAGTTGATAGTTCACTATTTTCAAACAATTCTATCATATTCAAATCAAACAAAGAACACGTATTTTTCAAAGCATTTAGTATATTTATAGAAGTGCATTTTACAATACAACTTCTAAGATCTGCATTGGCACCTTCCGGAAGTTTCAATTCTGTAAAGCGTACTTTTAACTTTACTAATATTGGAAATAAAGTGTGTCCATTTTCAGGTATATATAAGAGTGGATTCTCTGGATCAGGTCGAACGAGCACATTAGGAGGTTCAACCATTGATAACAGAGGAAAATTGGAAAACCTGTCAAAATCCAAATCTTCTACGTTTTTAAATATTGTCCAAATTTTTTCATACCAATTATTATATGGTATTGATTCTCCTTGGGGATCCCATTCCAATTCTTCTGACATTGGTATTTCACTTTCTAATAGCTCTAAAATACCGGTAATGTCTAACTTTTTAATGTGTGTAATTTCAGAAAAATCATTAAACTCTTCACCATCAAAAATTTCCAATAGTTTTTCTGGTATATCATGAGAGATAAATCTTGATGCACTTGATGGAAATAACTCCATACATTCTTGATTCCCAATATAAAGGGCATTACCAAACTTTCCAATAGAACCATCACTCAACGGAACTAATTGTAGTCCATTAAGAAGTCTATATGTGTTTTTATCTTTATCTTTAAGAATAAAATTAAGCAATTCGAACAATGATTCGTGTGATTGGTTCTTATTGTCAACATCGTTTCGACCCCCGTGCTCGTATTTGGCTCTTTGTAATTCTTCACAAACTAATTTTCCATTAAGAATTGTGTACTTGAAATTAATATTTCTCGATTCTGTTTTAGCTTCATCAAGATGTTTAAGTTTACTCTTTTCAAGTATCACTACTGAAACTCCTAATTTACCTAATATATTTGCAATAGTTTTAGTATTGTCATTTTCCTCAAGAAATTTGGCTGTTTGTAATGAGACAAATTGTCCACCTTTAGCTTTAGTCCAGAAAAATTTTTGTTTACCAAGACCCAACTTGACAATAACATTTAAACCATAATCTTTGTATAAGTTCGTATAATCCTTTATCGGCCAAAGTAAATGCGGAACGAAATTTTGTCTATCTCTCCTAAATCTAGCTTCTTCAATTCTCACAACAGCTTCAAGTAGTTTAACATGCAAATCCGGCAAGACATTATACAAAATATATCGATTCCATTTTGAATCATCGCAATCAGCATTAATAAAATCATTTCCCGACTGTAAAATATTGCTTCTTGAACTGGATAACGAAAAGCAACCATTTAAATGAACATTCAAACGCGTAGATACCGATAGAGATAAATAAGAAAAAAATTCGCCATCGAGATCAGGAAACTGTAATGCATAATTCATAATCCCCTTAATATATTATATAAACGATAAAATAATAATAATAATAACAAAAGAAACTTTACCGTTTCAAATTTTGGTTCACCAAAAACTATTTCCTCAGATTTAGAAAGCAACATAGCAACTCCACCTCTTGGCTTTATTAAATGTACAAAATAAGAATTAGAAACATTATTACAAATTTTAAATTTCAATAAATTATAACTATTATATTTACCTTGAGACCATTTTCCTCCGAAATTTGTTTAATTTCCTTTTTCATCTTAATCTTTTCATGCCCTCCTGTACATAAAATCCATGTTTCTGAAACTTTTCTGTTTTGCAATACTATTTCATTAGTTAATTGATATGTTTGCATTTTATCAATTACACTTTTACGAATTTTGCGATCAGGATCTGAAATATCAATTTTTACTTCCCATATTCTATTCATTTTTTGATTTTTCATGTGATAAAAACTACATGATTCTATATTCCTTAAAAAGAGCATCTCCTTGTTACCCTGGACTTCACTAAATATTTGCAAGATTTTTCTGATATCTACGGCTTTCTTTGAAATCTCACTTTTTCTCGCCGAATTAAATGTCCTAAGTGGAAGTCTAAACAGTGTTCCTTTAAACTCCTTTGAAAGATCACAACCTTCTATCGCCTCGTAAGGATAGCATTGATCTGGAAAACATCCCTTAAATTCCTTTTCGATAAAATTAATTCTAGTACCTCTACGCCTTCTGGGTGGGTATCCTTGTGCTGGAAGAAATTTTGCATTTGGATCTAAAAATGCAATATACTTTCCACTCACAATACTCGGTAAATCTGTAATGTGGAAGGCACAATTGAAACCTGTTCCGAATCTTCCAATTGTATTCTCATCATTGGATTTTGATCCCTTTCCAAGTTTAAGCAAAGCCCGAAAGTCTTTGTCAGTAAATTCAACATCATTATATATCCATAACGCGGGACCTTGCATATCAACCATATCTTGCGATAATAAAGATTTTTTAGAAGTATTATCATAATTAATTGGTCTTTCATCCAATATTACCGAAAATCGCTTTGCTTTAGCATCATCTGCATTCTACATTAAAGGGATCATAATATATATTCTTCAGATTTAATTATTATAAAAAAAAATAACAAGATTCATTACTTACTTGAAGAAATTCCTTAAACAACTGAGTTATTGAATATTCCTAATGATGTCAAGACGGTTTTTATAAATATTAATAGATGATATAATTAAATAAAAAAGCATTAAAAATTAAATGATTACCTTGATAAGACCTTGTATTCTAGTAGTCAATGATTCTTCCTGCTCATATACGTCCCAATCATCATCTCCAGCTTCAATACCTAGTAATTGAAGAAGTAAAGAATTTAGGTAAAATGTGAAAAAGAATATTAAATCTCAGAATTATAAGATACGATAGTTACCATATATTTTTCCTGTTAAAGTTCCTATCTCCAATCCTTCTGCAATATCCCGAGTCACAAGATGATGAGTAATATTGTAATTACTTCTCTCATTTTCATCAATTTTATCACCTAAATCATCAAATTGAATTTCATCTAATTTCACAAGTTTATGTTGAGTACTTGGAATTAATAATCCGTCCAATATTTCTGGATCTTTTCTATCTCGTTTATTATCCTTTTGTTTCCTGGAAATTTGTTCAAGAATTTGAATGACCTTTTTTATCTCGTCTATCAATAAAACTCTGTCTTTGTTTCCCTCCACGGTACTTTTAATAATCAAAATCAAGTCCTTAACTCCAATTTCGTCTCGAACTCCCATAGCTTTAAAAAAAGACATATATTTGCTTGTATAATCTATAGGAAGCTCAACTATTAAAGAATCCTTGTCCTTAAATTCACTCAAAAGACGAAAGACAACCTTATCAGCCGAATAAAATTTGTTTAATTTACTTCCGCACAAAATCCACGGTTGCTTTTCCAAATATTTTTTCATATATCCAAATTCATTATTAATGTTATTTGTTTCAAAAAATTTTTTGCTCATATGTTTATAAATCTCGTCACAAACAGTTGTTAACTCCTCTGGCGGTTGTTTTCTCGCCAAGCTCACACAACAAAATTTCAATTGTTCTAAAACCAAATTAACACTGGGATAAGTATTCCACCCTATTCTCTTCGAAAATTCGCGATTTTTAACAGAATAATCCAGAATTGGTGCAACAAAGCAAACTAGATTTTTGTCTCTTTTGGGAAAGCAATCTTGAGGTTTTGAAAAGATTCCGTTTTGAGATTTATCAACAGTAGGGATCCATTTTTCATTTAAAATTACATACATTAAGCGATCATTTATGATAAGCTGACTCCACTTGTCATCAAGATATTTCAAAAGTTTAAGCGCTTGTTGACGAATTAAAGCTTCATTTACGTTGGAACTTCGTGCTACAATATTTTTGATCCGAGAAATTATATCATCGGGAGAAAGTATAATTTTTAGTCCCAATGATTTCAAATTCGAAAAGAACTTTCCAGATCCATATTTGCCAGCTGGAAAGAATTGTTCGTTCTCAAAAAACAGATCAACCACCGACTTTTCTTCGGGATTGAATAGTTCTACTGGTTTCGCTAATTTAAAGTTATTAGGCAATTGTTGTCGTTGTGACATTTGAAGTGTACCGGTGGGTACAAAGGGAATATTTCCGAAAAAGTCTCTTAACTCTGAATGATGATAAAGCAAATTTGGCAACTTATCAAAAAGTTTGTCAATTACACTATCTCTGTCTCCTTGTTGTTGTGATCCGAGAAATGGCATTACATAATTTCGCCAATAGTTATATGATTCTAATCGAGGAACTTTGATAATGTATTCCAGTAAATAGCATAAATTCTGTGAACTTGCATTTAGAAATCTTCCTCTATTACTCGGATAAATAATTTTACCATATGAATTTTCTTCATTTTTGGGAAGAAGGAACCAATTTGCATTCCCGGATAATAATGAAATTGGGGAATTTTGATCAACTACGGTAAAAATCGGAAGATGTATTATAACCTCAATAAGTTCCGGCGCAAGATTATTTGTAAGACGTAAATAATTGGACAAATGATCAATAAGTATTGATGCTTCACGAGGTTGTAAATCATGTTCCAAATTCCTTGGATATGAAGCTGCTGCACGGAAGGAACTTAGAACCGACACAATATCATTGGGTTTAATTATGTATGAAGATACTCTAATAAACAACAAATAAAATAAAATGAACAAAAAGAACAGATATTTAGTAACAATCATATAAAATTGGATAAAAATTCATGAAATAATTACCCATCCCGTTCGACAACTTTGTCAAATTGTTTGTTCACAAAAACGGCACCAAATTTTTCGAAAATAGAAATTAAGGACGATGGTTGATGATAAAAAATTCTTTGAGGAGTTTTTAGCCTTCTAAGAGTAGATCGACTCGTTGGAATTAAATGAACGTTTTCAAATTCTTTCAAATCCCATCGCCTATAACTTAGGTTATCCCATAATTTATAAATCCATTCATTATGATTTATCTCTTCAGATTTTACATTTTTTGAATTCAGTGTGAATCTAATCATATCGGCAACGGCAAATTCGTCCAAGATTTTAATGTTTAAAATCCATCCAACTTTTGCTAATTTGTACAAACGGTCATACAATTCGTAGCTAATTGACATGTCAATGAATTTGTTCAATTGATCGTTGAAGACATTAAATTCATCTCTATCAATACTATTTATATTATAAGGAACAATATATACAAGAGAATTGCTGGATTGCGACAACTTTCCAAATGTACCATCCGCGAGTGGAATCATTCTAAAATCTACTAATTCGTCAAACTTTTCGTCCCTTAATAAATACCCAAATAATTTCAGGACTTCTTCTCTTGCTAATGTGCCTTGCCATCTACCAAGATTATGTTTTAAATAGTCACGAAGAATAGCAGGAGCGAAAATTTTACGGGAAGTTTTATGTTTGGATTTTTTCAAGCCTTTAGTTATAGCAAAAGGTGCTGAAATAATAGGAAATCCAACGCTTCCAACTGTAGATAAATCAATATTATCATTCAAATAGCCATTGGCGAGTGATAACCAATGGAATTCGGATGTTTGAAATGAGGATGCATCGTATGAATCTGCTGAGATTCCAGATACTTTTCCAATGGCATTATTTAATGAGGAGGGTCCTCTAAATACACGATCCTTAATGCTAAGATGTTCTATAACATTCTGCAATAGATCCTTGCAAAAATGATTCATGGTACCTGATGTATCTCCTTTGTCTTTTGGCCAGAATTTATATAGATGATCTGACGAAATATTAGGAACTTTACGTGGGAGCTCACGAAGGAATTTTACCCAAGCTTTGGGTAAGACTTTTTCAAATAAATATTGATTCCATGAAACCTTCAGGCGTGCTATTGCATCGGACGCCTATAGTTTTAGTAATCAATAATTAACATATATTCCTTTTTTTACCGTTTAACAATCAATATAAAAGATAAAAATGGATTAATTACCAAGTCTTCGTTATCTGCGGGCGCCCATAGAGAACGTCGATTAGTACTAACCTGTTATAAAAAAATTTAAAAAATTTAATTGAGTATTTAGAGTTACAGTATAATACAACAATAGATAAATTTCAATAAGTTATTACCGCGAAATATCCATGCACGGAAACAAGGAAGGGCATAGAAATGGGAAGTGGTAAAAAGCAAAATAATCTTCCAGTTGCATCCAAATTCTTTAACGGAACGGCTAATCCAACGTTAGGGATAAACTTGTGCTCCCCTATACTTTTCGAGAAATTTTTTTGATAATACTTTTCAGCTTCAAGCAAATCATCAAGATAGTTCAAAATTAACCATGGGTCGCTATCTCCCTTCTCATTTCCTCTTTTACGACGGAATGATGCAACATAAGAGGATTCTAATTGTTTAATATCGTTACGTTTCCCCGAAATTAATGAATCCATCATTGGTACAATGTTTTTAACAATCAAACGACGTTGTTCTCGAACTTGAACGGCATTTTCCAATCGAATTTCATATAGTAAATCAGGTTTAGTAGCATCTTTCTTTAATTCATAAAAAGTAATTTTCTCAACATATTTTAAAAACAACAAGCAATTAATACTTTCGTTTTCGTAAAATTTATGAAACATCTCCAAGACTTCTTTAGGTTTATAAATTTTTTTATAAATTTCCGAATCTTGAGAATCCTTTTCAGTGCGTAGAGGATAACGAAACATAGTGCCATCAAACCTATTAAATGAATTTTCACACGAGATTCCCAAGGATGGAATTTTAAAAGGAGCAAGTTGATCAGGGAAATCTTGGACCATATTATCTTCGACAATGTCGTATATCTCTCCACCATCAAAATACCATTCATGTGGATCAAGAATAACGTATGTATCACCGGTAATGAAGGATGGAGAATCAGTAACATGATAAATTGAATTGAAACCGACACCCATTACTACATTTGTTATTAAATATAGGTAAAAAAAAAAAAAAAAAAAAAATAAAAGGAGACATTAGAATGCAAATAATGTAAATTTCTGCGCAATATCTTCATGGTGAAACTTACCTCCAATTTTATCAAATTGGTCGCGTTTTTCGCTATTTGCCAAATTTAACAAAGATGTGAAATCTCTCTCTTCAAAAATGGTATTATTTATCGCCAATAAAGCTGGACCCTGATATCTATCAAGTTTCAAGTCGGAATTATGATAATTATCTTCAGTCGGCTCTAATAAGCTTTCTGATGGATAAGTATTATGATCCAGGATGAAAATTTGTTCAGTGCTCTTGGAATCATCAGAATTTTGAAGAATTTCACGAAGAACTTGTGGACCATCAGGATATTCAACAAGAATTTTATTCAATCTATTAGTATAACGTTCTGACGGTTTAAATTTCCTTCCTCGAGTTCTAACCATCTTTACGATAAGTAATTATTACAGTTATGTTAAGTTTCTCAGTAAAGAATTAAGAAGGAAGAATTGGGGATTTGAGAAAAAAAGAATAACCGACTTGAAACGTTTTATTTATAAAATTTTAAAATATGTCACGCAAACGTTATTGTTATCCATGATTAACAATTTGATTAAAACTTTTACTTTTAATAAGAGTACAAAACAGTAATGAACGATGGAATAAATAATCCGGAATATTTTGGGGTTGTGTAATATTATAAAATAATGACATCGAGTTAGTTTAATTTTTTGTTTGGTTATTGTTTCTGAAAAAGGATATTATAAATATTATGAATAGCAAATTTCCTATTTAGTCGAACAAGAGCACGGAAATAATTATGCGGATTAGATCTTTATGGTTGATTGCTATGTTACACCTGACTCGTTGATCCCAATAAAGAAAGATAAGAAAACAAATAACGGAAAAGGTAAATCAAAAAAGATTTCATTTATTAATGAATACATATTCGAACGAGTACACAAAGAGATGAAACAAATCTTATGAATGTTTTGCACTTGTGTGCTTTGTTTAGAAATATTAGAAAATATGTAAAGTAGATTGTCTTTTAAACATATGATGCAGGGGATAATAAAAAAAAAATAATTCGAATCCTTGTATTCCTTCCAAAAAGAAATACAAATCTCAAAAGTCATCTTCTGTATTTAAAAATATTAACTTACAATATAAATTTTATTTTCAATTTTTGATTGTTAAATGTATATAGTTTTTAATTTCGAAACTGGCATTTAGATTTATTTCAAAATGCTTGGGCGTCATACGTATTTGTATGTGAAATAAAATCAAGTTTTGGATTTTTTTTTTTATCATAAGGAGTAATATCCAAGAATTTAACCTTTGCTTTTTTAAAAAGGTATAGCAACACTACAAAGTTGATTAATAATTTATGAATCGTATTTGAATTTGAATTTTTTTTTAAATAGTAATGTTCTTCGTTACTCCGCGCGCAGCATGCAACATAATGGTTAAAATGCTTAATTACTTATTTATTTACGAATAAAGCGAACTTTTTTACATAAATTGAAAATCTATCGTTTTAAATTAAATAACAAAAAAAAAGAATGGTAAACATGATTAAATAATTTTTTTTTTTTTTAAGGTTTTGGTCTAATCTTAACGAACAATTCGGGACAAACGGTTAAAGCTGTTGACAAGGTTTTTAAAGGAGATTTCGTGTCTACCAAATCAAATTCATACTTTCTATACAATAAAGCCATCAAACAAATCAATTCAATCATTGCCAACTTTCTTCCCGGACAGATTCTTAAACCTCCACCAAACATGATAAAAGAATATTTCTTTGGTTCGAAACCTTTAACCATCCATCTATCAGGATTAAATTTTTCAGGTTCTTCCCAATAATCATTATGTTTGTGAATAGAAACAGCATTCACATGAAACATCGTGCCAGCCGGCCAATTATACCCCGCTATTTCGTCAGGTTCTTGACTATATCTCGCCATCATGTTGGAAACCGGAAGAACGCGATCAACTTCTTTTACTATCGCTTCACAGTATTTGAGTTTATGAAAATCATCTTCGGTGATTGGACGATCCTTGTCACCTTGGAATATTTCATCAATTTCTTTTAACATTTTCTTCTTCACATCCGGATTGTGTTCGATATGATAGAGTATGAATGAAATCATATTTGCAGTCTAATGAAATGAATTAAGATAAATGTTTGAGCAACATTTTAAAAAATCGATTAATCATAAAAAAATTTGAAATTTTTACTCACTGTGTCAGTTCCACCAAGAAATCCGTCGAGCAAAATACCACGAATTTCAGTATCATTCATAGGTCTCATGACTTCACCTTCGACAGTTTTAATTTGATTAACATTCCGAGGAGTATTCGCAGTGATCACCGAGGTCAACATATCATGTGATAAAGGTTGGTCCAATGGTGTATTTTCAATTTCCTGTCTGCGCCTCTTAATAATGATGTCCAACCTTTGATAGATAAATTCGGCGTTTTTAAGTAAGCCATCCGAGATTCGCTTCATATATGGGGAGTAATGTCGTATGAAAGAAGGAATGAAGATAAATGTTGATAAACCTAAAATATGCTCGCGAAATGCTCGAACGAATTTATCGGAATCATCAACTATCGCTTGTGGGTGTAAGGATTTTTCATCACTTTGAGTGTTAAAATATGCGGCCATTGTATAAGATCTTTCACCAGTTGTCAAAGCGATGATCATATCATTTGTATATCGATTCAACCAAGCAGAAAAATCCATATTATTCTTCTCCCCTTTAATAATTTCTTCCTTAAGGTATAACTTGTTCCAAAAACTTGACAATTCTTCGAAAAGTTTATTCGTCCAATCGATAGCCTCTTTGGTAAATTTCGGTGCAAAAATGGCTTGAGTAAAAAATTGACGATTATATCTCCATGATTTCAAATCATGATTTGCAAATAAACCTTTTCCCATCATTCCTAATTCATCTAACCCTTGAGTGTAAGGAAATCTCATCATGTATTGACTTTTTGTTGAAGGCATCAAAAGTTTTTCGACGTATTCCGGTTTACTGAGAACTATACGTCGAGTTCCCAAGTGAAATTCGAAAATGTCACCATGCTTCTTTTGATAATGTACGAAAAATGTCTTGAAATTTCCGCGATGAATAAGCATGAATTGAGGTAGGTTCCCGATTACTGGGAATGGGAATGGACCAGGTAAAGGATTAACTCGAGTAAAATACTTGTAATAATACTGCGTCACGTAGATCGCCAGGATGATACCTATCAATGAGAGGTAATCATGAATTAAAAAATCTACTAATAAATGATGAAGAGACATGTTTGGAAAAGGAATTCTTTTTTTTTTTGAATTTAATCGAATAATTCTTATAGTGTTTAAAGTGATGTTAAACTTGTGTGAAAACCCAGGATATTTATATTAAAAAGTGATGATATAAATATCGCTTAAATTTATTTGTTCGGATGGTAACACAGCATAGGTTAAATTTCGTACCGGAAATCTGAATGAAATTAAACGGTGGCGTACATGGCATTATCTCAATGAAGTTACATCATAGTTAAAAAATTTCGGTTAAATTTTTGCTGAAAAATACTTGTTATAATTGCGGGCACTTAATATTGGGGAATTTAAATATCATTTGAATTCTTCAACTGAGTCACCATTTTTATTTAATACATGTAAATAATATCACCATTACCGAGTGCTTGTAAGTATAATAAAACGTGACAATTATTGTTATTGTTTTACTGTGGAAAAAAAATAAAAATAATTGGTATTAAAGTGTATGCCATAAAAATAAGTAAAAATCAATCTTTTGAAAAAAAAATAACCCTAATTTGATCGGTGGAATAAATAGAAGCAGATATATTTTCTCTTGCGTAAACAGTAAGATAGTTTTTCGTTTTGTTGTTGGTTGAACATTCTATATGGTAAGTTTGGCTAAGGGGAAACAGCATTTTAACGTAAAACGTAACACGCGAAATGCTAAATTCATCCTTTGGTTGTTAATATAAAAATTAATCATGTGTAAATTTCCATTTTAAGAAAATTTCGCTGCAAATTTAATTATTTTTGTATCACGTCAAAAAGAAACAATATTGATGATTAGGAAAGTGTAGGATCGACCATTTGTGTAGTGTATGACGTAAAAAATAAGAAGTGTATTATGTATGATTTGTGAAACAACTACACTGTTTATCGTGACTTTCAAATTCAAATATAAGCAAGAGAAAAAAATTCTCACGCGTTAAAATACCTTTT